ATTCTCAATGCCGGCACATGCTGGCTGGAGCTTGAAGGTTCCGTATCAACATTGCCAATCATAATGGGACATGGTTGGAGTCCATTGCCCACAGTGGATTTACCGGAGCTCCAACGTCTCAATCTCGTAGGCTACATTTACGACATCGCCGATATGATTGCACATCTGCGCCTCCCAAACTGCAATCAGCTTTTTTGCAACTACGGCTCGTGGTATGATCTCATGATCAATTGGGCCAACATCGACAATTTCCATGCGATGCCCACTGCAACCGATCGTCTTGCACTGTTGGGCAGAATTCAACGAGTTGTGTTCATACGTGATAGATTCCGTGGGTCGTTCACGGTGAAAGGGTACGAGGAGCGATCGATGGACGGGCAGGACATCGTCGAGCCCCTGCTCTGCTTACACTTTCCCCCGGATGAAATGTTTCCCGATTTCTTCTATACTACGCACCTGCCAAACGCGGCACAGCGTTATTTCCAGCTTCATTCGGACTGGACGAACATAGAGTTTGCGGTGGTAGAAGGATGAATAAGGGTTCATTCCGTCACGGTGCTCCAGTGCAAGTTTTTACTTTCAATTGAATCATATGCTGCGTTTCGCCATTCAATCTTCTCTTCGATGCGATCTTTTCCCCTCACCCATGCTTGCTGTATGCATTATTCCCCTCACCTGTAATTTCATGACTGACTCATGTATCGTTGTTCGCCCATGTGCTGTATATATGCTTTCCTTCATGATCCTATGATAATGCAACTCCTGTTGATCTTACGTTTCAAGGGTGTTGGACTCTTCGTAAGTTGCACATGCACGATGTGATCAGAGGTATGCAAATAGGCATTTCATTCAAACTGAGAACTTCAGTCCTTTGCAAACAACCCGAGTTAAAGGAGTGTTACATAGATCGGACCGCCAGGAAGGACCCCCAAATCCTACGACCAGTCCTCCGAGTCCCAGGAGAATCTTACACTCACACATCCGTATTTCACTGTGAACTTCAACGCCTTTCCCCATGGCAGGCTGAGCAAGAAGAGGTGAGAGCGAGGTGAAACTAGCACGACTGGCATGCCCAGGGCTGCCGTGACCTACCGCACCTGAATGGGGTTTGGAAGTGTGCAAATACTGAGTCACTGACTCCGCTCGAACGATATACAACATCAACCAGATTATTGATAGTAATGGATAGTATTGTGCAATGACCACAAGTCCTGTTATGTGGCCGCTTGGATATCATCCTAATGAAAACAAATGTCCGTGCAGCTCGAGGAAAACATGCATGCAAAATTACAACGACAACAAGCGACGACAATAATGATAGCAAGAGACTTGAAACGATGGGTATCAAGCGTACGATTCGTGATTCAAAACAAAGTTGGCGGTGCAGGACAGCGGGATTATAGTGATCCAAACGTACTCGTGATGCAAGACGGAACAAGAAGAAAACTTGATACAGAACTGACAAGATGGGAGACTACCTTCTGACGCGTTTAACGTCTCCGCCGTCCATTTCGAGCGACTGCAACGGCGGTCTATGTCCATTCGTGGAAGAAGACCCTACGTGTCGACTGTGATGAGCGAGACCCATCCCTTGTAGAGGACGAGAGCCGCTTTTCGATGACAGAGGCTGACCCCTACACGTTCACAAGTACATCGGTCAATCTAAGTTCGCAAACATGGGTGAGAGAATACACTTACTGCATCATTGCCTCCGCATTTCTTTTCATCCCAGCCATACTATTAGTAGAGCTTCCTCCATTACTGTGGAGTGAGGCTCGGCCTGCTGCACTATGACCATTCGACGGAGGCTTGCCCGTTTGAGGGTTCTAAGAGCGACAGCAGTCAGTCGACATTCATATGAGAAGGGACAAGGAGAACAGAAAGCGCCGCATGGAAAGATTTATTAATCAAGAAGGGAACTCACCACGCCGGGAGGCAAGTGAAACCCGCCCATCGGGGGAGTAGGCGAAGAGGTGCTAGTCCGGCGATGACCATCGCTAGAGTTGCCACTCGTAGAAGCACCATTCGAGTGACTCAGCCCGCTCGGTCGTTGAGGCTGATATGGCACGGTTTGCTTCGACTGTTGACCGTCGTCCTCCCCTCGAGCCGCCTTGACCGACCGCTCGATGGACTCCTTCCTCGCCTTTCTCGCCAGGTTGAGAGGGTCTGTTCCGGTTGAGGGCGGTTTGCGATGCTGTATCGATGGAGCGCCATTAGCCGCATGTTGTTGCTTCTGCCTCTCTTCTTGTTGCCTTTGTTGCAGCCTCTCCTTCTCCCTCTGTCTTTCTCTCTCCCGTTCTTTCTCCCGCTCCCTTTCTCGTTCTCTTTCTCTTTCTCTCTCACGCTCCATCTCCCGTTCCTTCTCCTTCTCCCGCTCGCGTTCCCTCTCACGAACATGTGGATGCTCAACAAATGTATCATCCACACCTCCATCTGGCACATCCCCACCCACACCCACACCTTCCCCCTCATCCGCGCCGCCCGACTTCCCTTCGTCAAAGTCAATATGCCCGCCTACGCCCGTATCGAGGTTATCCAAATCGACCATACCGAAGAACGCGTCGTCTTCGGCCGTGATTCCGTAATCCTCGTCTTGGGATGCGAGGATAGGTTGTTCTTCCTCCATTTTCGCCGCAGCAGCATTTGTAGAGGTAGTAGAGGTAGTGGCGGCGGCGTTGTGATTATTTGCGTTTGCAGGGGGTGGAGGCAGCTGTTGGGCGGGTTGAGGCTGCGGTGGACGTTGTTGAGGGACGGATGGTTTATTCTGGGGTTGGTTATGTGATTGATTAGCGTTTACGTTGGGCGGGTTCGGGGCCTTGAACTGGGGCTGTGGATTGTGCCCGTTCGCAGCTCGTGACGGCTGCTGGAATCCGGCAGGCGTGACCGGAGTTTGTAGCCCCATATTCAGGTTAGGCTTTATGTTCGCAGATGGAACCGGGGCGTGAGGTTTGGCAGGCGTAATGGTAGTTGAATGTCGCAGATGCGACGGGATGGCTGGTGCCACTCGTGAGGGCCCTGCATGTGAGGGCGTTGGTGGTTCCTGCTTGAGTGCGGATGTCGATGGTTGTGGTGGAGGTGCAGGTTTGGAAGACGGATCCGCAAACTCTGGGCGACGGTGTAGTTCCTCTTTGTTTAGTTTAGGCTAAAGTCGAGTCAAAAAGTCAGATGAGAAGCGAGCTGTTCAGTGAAAGGTGTACTTACTACTGGAACCTTCATCTTTGTGATCTCTTGGGTGTAATGCTTATCATACAGACAATTCCCAAGTAGATTCCCAAAATTTCTGAGCGCACGCTTCACCGCGTCCGTCACAGCTTCCTTCTTGCACTACAAAACGTGATTTTCGTCAATAACACCGCGCATATACCCCGCCACACAAGGAAAAACACATACCTTATCCAATGCCGCTGCCTTACTCTTCGAATTCTCCAACGCGCCATACCCCACATCCTCGTGAAAGACCCCATCTCGGAGGGTGACCCTCACCACAGCCGTCACGCCGACATTATACTTCTTCGTCTCCTCGAAGTAGTCGACGAAGTCCGTCGTGAGACTAACAATACTCGAGCTCCACCCGTTGAAACCGAAGACCTCGTTCGCGAGGTTGATAATTTTCCACCCCTCCGCATACGTCAACTTCATCCCGCCACCCGGTCCTGGCCGCTGCGACACAAACTCAGGACCAAGGTACTTCTGCAACTTCGCCTGCAAAGTGGCGATCTTGCGCGAGCTCTCCTCAGACATATCAGACAACACCGAGCTGTGGTCAAACATCATGCTTGCATTGTCCATGGTGACGTTTGAGCCGGATGCGAATCCAGAGGCGTCGAATGAACCGTGCATAGATGGAGCGAATGCGAGGGGACCGTGGGTGGCGATTTGGGGCGCTGGTTGTCCGAAGGGGCCTTTGGGACGTTGAGCGGCGATGTAGGCTTCGAATGAGTTGACGAGGTTCCCGCTGAAGGAGCCTGCCATTGAAGTTCTGAAAAAGGTGGTCTAGTCGAGTTCGTCTCTTCAATTGAGGCAAATCGTTCAAATAGTTGATGAAGCGATGCGCAGCAAGTCTGCTCAGTCTTGATATCAATCAATAAACCGTCCAAGTCCGAGTCGTTCGTCTGCAATTGGAATGGTGATTGTACGCCACGATCGTCACCGTCAATGGGAAGAAAGAAACATTCAAAAGTTGGAGTCGTCAAAGTCGTTATTCAAGGTTCCAGAGACGATGGTGATGGTACGTGGTCAAGAACAGGCCTCGAGTCAGAGAACCTAAAAGCGGAAGCGTGTTGGGATGACTGAGAGCCACCCAAACGTGGAAGTCAAAAGCGAACCTTAATTGTGACGCGCGTCACCCTTTACCCTTTGTCACGCGTTTGCCACGCATCAGGTGACCGCGTACAAAAGGTTCTTTCGCACGCTCTTTTTCGGGAGAAGTCAGAGATTCAGAGAGAATTGGTTTCGACTTCTATTCAACGTTATTCAACCTCCAAGATGGGTCTGAGAATGCCCTTTGGAATCGCACTTATAATAAGGAGGCAACAAAAATATTTCGGTACAACTCGAGGCCGACTTTGTATCTCTCTTGAAATTTGAATGTATTCAAGGCTTCTGAGTCTCATGCAGCACAAACGCATATCTATTTGAAGCTTCCCCCCCCTCCCCCCTCAATAACACATACATTGTCATCTATAAATACAGTAGAACACAACGAGAGCAACACCGCCGGATAAGTTTAGATCCCGAATTCCACGACGGCTCGTAACGTCCGTTCCACATCTACTGCCAACTTAAACTCCTGAGATGCAGATCGACCGATATTGGTATTGGATTTGGCAGATGGTCATGAATCCAAGGAGACGAGATTCACCTTGTCGTAACTGCGGATAGGAGATCATTAGGACAGAGAGATTGAGCGAGGATTGAGCTATTTTTAAATCGGTATTCCTGGAGGACGTCAAGTGAAAAGACCGCGCAGTCCATAACCATTGAACGACATCAAAAAACAAGACCCCATAGCTCAGTGGTAGAGCGTGAGATTCCAGCAGGCGGCTTCCAATTGAACCGCTTGGTGAGTCCTCAAGGTCATCCGTTCAATCCGGGTTGGGGTCATAATTCTTGTCATTGTTGCATTTTTCTCCTCCAATTCTCGCTTTTTGCAATCTGTTTTGCAAGTGGGATTGTAGCGTACTGTACTGTACAGTACATACAGGAAATGTGGACATCTGAAATATGTTGTGAGGTTTGCGGTCTGGCGTGCTGTCTATTTTTGTGTTGTGCGCGACAGAGCCAAAGCATACAATGCCGCGAGTATCTTGAAGCACTGGGAGCAGGATCGACGCTTCCTCGAGCCTAGAAGGTTACAACACTCACCTACGAAGTCGTTACTGAAACTTAAAGTCAAAGTCAAAGCATCTGTCATAAAGCCAAGCCCAAACGTCCAACCGGAGGCCAAGCACTGTTTCACCGCTCAAAGTCATTGCATCGACGGCAGATGCGCATACGATTGACTTTGGTAAGAGAGGTGGATATATCATGAGTTTCATCCCTTTTTCGTGATATCAGCCGATCGCAGGCTGCCTGTGGAAGTGTCACTGTACATGTTAGAAGGGGTGCGTACGGTAGTTGGTTTAGCTTGAGCGGTGAGCGGTGTGAACTGCGAGTCTGGAGGGAGCTAAGGTTCGTAGGACGTCCTATATTCACGTGTGTAGCTTTGGGAGACGGACTGAAGTGAACGTGCAGGAGACTCTAATGTGAATTCACAGCATCGGTTATATTACACCCGCAGTTGACGAAGATTTCTGAGGACTCTTACCTATGTATACAGGCTCCGGTGGATGACTACCCCCGGGACATATGTCCATGTGTACGTTGATGAAAACCCGGAAGTATGTTTTGATGAAGAGGCAAGACATCCGATTCGTCGTCTCAAAGTCCTCCCATTGCTACGAACACTCCCAGCTGGCCAGTATCAGTCAGTACCACAAAAAGCGATGCTCCTGGATACGACAGATCGACAGCTTTACTGCACGCTTTAAGCTTGAGAACATCAACCCCAGGAATTGCACTCACACAAAGCACAGGATGACGGGTACGGGAATTACCTGTAGGGCCCTGAGGAGGGGGCCCCCTCGGGGGCGTCCTGACGTGGACCTTTCCGTGGTCTCAGGGATAAGTACCCTCGTAAGAGGGGAAACCAACACACGT